GAGAGGATTTCAGGAGGCAAAGGGCTGCATAGCGGGGAGAGTCAGGGGTGCGGTGTCGAGACTAGGATGGGTCCTACGCCAGGCCAAATGGCATCCGTGACCCGCAGGCCATGAAGTGTGGGGTGCACTCCTGCTGTCTGCCAAGCTTCCTCGTGAGGGGCACGGAAAACCTTGGGGTGGTGTCCAGGCCCTAGAAAAAGCCAGATGAAGATATTTGCCTTGGGTGGCTGAGGTCTGGGAGATGGCCAGAGCCCCTGGAAAATATCCGATGGCAGGAAGGAGAGGCAACAGTCGGGAGCTATTGAGGAAGGCTAGGGACAGATGTGCCACATGCAGGACAGGAAGGCAGCTGAATGACTCCCAGATTTCTGGCCTTCTGTGGGTCCATAGCTGCTACTCCTTTCCCTGCTTACTTCCTTTTAATCTAGAACAGAGCTGTCCAAGAGAGGCTGCTGCAGTGATCGAAGAGGTCTGTTCTGTGCCCTCCAGTGCGGTAGCCACATCTGCAGGTCACTGTCTAGGGCTTGCATGTGCCAGACCAGCGCCATGCCGCTGAGCTGTGCCCCGTCCAGTCCCCACTGTGACCCGGCTCTGGCCACTGGGCCTTGCTCTATGGCTAGGTACACACCTGGCTCCCTCTGGACCGTCATGTTCTTGAGGTCAGGCAATATAGTTAATTTACGGTTGAATCATTTCCTCTGCGTCTCTTGCACAGTGCCCTGCATATCAGGAGTGTTCAGTAGGACCATGCCTGGGTTAACTGGCCAGCTCAGGGGGCAGCTCAGACTTGCCTTCCAAGGCTCCTTTCAATTCAAGGAGATTATAGGCTTCTCGTCTCTCAGAACAACCACTTGCCCCATGAAAGAAAATAGCGTTTACAGAATGCCTTTGTCCAATGACACCAGGATGGGTGGGGCATCAAGGCGAAACCCAAGCAGGCGGTCCTTGTGCTCTAGGGCTCTGTGTCAGCACACTGGCACGACCCTGTGCACGTGGGCCAACAAACGATAGGACCAGTTTTAAACACATGCAAGGACCCTCGGACTTGTGGATGAATACTGTCTCCCTGAAGGATTAGGAGATGTGCGAAGGGATAAAAGCTGTGTGCTGGAAGTGTCCTCAGACTTCCTGCCCTCCTCCAGGTCCTGTGAGTTGCTGAGTTCCTCCCCTGGAAAGGGAGGTTCCTTCCTGTTGGGGAAGGTGAGGGTGGAGGTAGAGGAGATGGCTCAAGGCGGGGCCTGGTGGGAGACGTAGAAGACAGTGTGGAATTGGGTGAGGGAAAGGCAAGCCCTGGGTCATTCTGGAATTGTCTTTGGTTACTCTGATCGCAACACAGCCCGGAGATAGGACTACATGGGTCCGGATGATGAAGGTGGACCACCTTTGGCTAGGATGTCTTGGGCCCCTCCCTGGACTTGGCTTCGATGTGGGGACCACATCCCTCCAGATAGCTTCACTGGACGAAGCCACAGCCTTTGTAGGGAGTCTTTGTTTTGCTGGAAATCACTAACCGCGGTTTGGAGCCAAGTTTGGCTAGCTGTTAAGCAATACCATTGTTGCCCAAAGGCAACTAAAATGATCATAATGTCATCATGCCAACTTTGCTGTTGGATTTGGGAGATGGGTCTTCAGATCTTGTTGAAGAAAGACAGACTTCAATCTGGTTTTGCTTTGGATCTGAGCCGGAGGGTGGCCCCCCGTCTATGAGCCCCAAGATTCTGCCTGCCAGCAGGGCTGTCCCCTCTCCCAGTGCCACCGTGGTGTTCTCCTTGCTAACCTGGCTGCCTTCCCAGGCCCTGTCTCCTCTGACCAAGTTGTAGAAAATTCCATTTCCAGGCCTGAAAGATGCACCAACAGGCCAAAGGATGATTCCACCAGGAACTCAGTGCTGGTTCTTGGATGGGGACACTCACTCCTCTGCCCCCTGGGGACAGACGTGGGGCAGCATCTGGATTTTGGTTGTCACAACTTGAGGGGGGATCTAATGGCAGAGCCTGGGGTCCTGCCTACATCCTACAGTGATGGAGGCCTCCCAGGTGTCTCCCCCAAATGTCAGCCATGATGGAGACACCCCGGGGTAGGACAGTCCAAAGGCTCTCGGTGCTTCTTTTTGTTGTCACCTCCCAACTTTTCTGAAGTGCACATATATTATTTTATATTAAAAAAGAGTTCAAAGAAAAGAAAACTTCCTTTCACCGATGCAGGCTTAACATTAAAAGGAAAAAAAAAGACTAATTATTAAGGTGCTAAGGAGAAACAGGAAATGGAGAAATAAACAGATTTAGAGAACTCAGCTTGACAAATATTTGTTGAGCACAGTGAAGCCCAGGGTACTGCAGGATGCTTGGCTGACCCGTGCTGGACAGGGGGCGTCCTGGGCTGGGAGGAGCTCGCACTGCCTGCTGGGTAAGGTCGCACAGGCCAAGCAAAACTGCCGTCTCAGGCAATATTCGAGACACAATCAGGAAGCAGGGTGGGCTTTCCCAGGCAGTGGTCTGGGGAGGCTGCAGGAAGACCATGATACACTGGAATGGGGTCCTGATGAGCGAGCTGGACTCGTCTCTTCTGGGGTCAGCTGAATTCGAGGGCAGCCGGGCACCTCAAAATGGGACGGTCCTAGGCGAATCCACTTCTCCAAGCCTCTGCTTTCTCATTGAGAGATTTGTTATTGTAACAAATGACTGTTTTCTCCTCAAAGGATTTGCCGCAGGCCCACATGAGGTCTCCCATGGGATTGAAATGGGGGGTGAGGATATGTCCTCACACCCATCCCCAGCCTGCAGGGTGGTCAGGGCTCGGTGCAGTGCTGGCTGCAGAGTCAGTCCTGTTAGTCCGGTCGTGGGTAGGAAAAGGGGGACAGAAGGTGCTCCTGCCCCGGGAGGAAGAGTGCAGGACCTCCCATGGGATTGAAATGGGGGTGAGGATATGTCCTCACCCCCATCCCCAGCCTGCAGGGTGGTCAGGGCTCGGTGCAGTGCTGGCTGCAGAGTCAGTCCTGTCAGTCCGGTCGTGGGTAGGAAAAGGGGGACAGAAGGTGCTCCTGCCCCGGGAGGAAGAGTGCAGGCTGGCGGACAGGCGCCGGGCCCTACGTAGGGGTGTGGGGTGTGGCTAAAGCACCAGAACCCCAAGGCCCTGCCCTGGATTCACTGAGTCACAAGCTGCACTTTCATGGGGCTTCCTGGTGTGCACCGCCCGGTGGGAGGAACAGGGGCTGGGCCACAGGAGCAGGGATGTGCAAAGTGGGGCGGCCTAGGGCAGGCCCTGCATCACCTGCCCGGGAGCAGGGCAAGATGGTGGCGGTGGTGGATGGGACGGACAGGCAGGTGGGCGATTTGTATGTTTACTTATAAATTAGTGTGGACAGAGTTTCTTTGGCAAGTGGTAAGGCAGTGTCGGGGGCTTTTCGAGGGGGCTGGTCACCTGGAAGAGTAGGGGTGTGGGGTGTGTCTAAAGCACCAGAACCCCAAGGCCCTGCCCTGGATTCACTGAGTCACAAGCTGCACTTTCATGGGGCTTCCTGGTGTGCACCGCCCGGTGGGAGGAACAGGGGCTGGGCCACAGGAGCAGGGATGTGCAAAGTGGGGCGGCCTAGGGCAGGCCCTGCATCACCTGCCCGGGAGCAGGGCAAGATGGTGGCGGCGGTGGATGGGACGGACAGGCAGGTGGGCGATTTGTATGTTTACTTATAAATTAGTGTGGACGGAGTTTCTTTGGCAAGTGGTAAGGCAGTGTCGGGGGCTTTTCGAGGGGGCTGGTCACCTGGAAGTCCCTGGCCCTTTCCCTTCAGAAAGATGGTTGCTGGAGGTGGAGCCATGCAGTGGACAGCGGGGGACACGGGCCAGAATGGAGGCTGAAGACGTATGTGCAGCGGTGCCCGCCTGCTCACGGCCTGCACGCCGAGGCTCCACGGGAGAGCCGGCCCCGGCCACACCTCCTCCTGCCATGTTCTTATGGGTGGACACGGGGTCCCAGTAGGGAGAGGCCGGAAGATCCCTGCAGCCAGGGCAGTGAGCTCAGTCACATGTGGAGAGAAAGCTGCGGCCACCAAACCCGAGCCATGGAATGGCAGAGGGGACACCACAGCTTTCCAGGATGGGTCAGAGGCAGCATTCGCCTGGGTCCGAGATTGCTGATAGAGAAATCCAACTCAGGAGTTTAATTCCTCTCCAGTATACCAGAGGACTGAAGCACAGGGTGGTCCTTACTCCTCTCGGGGCTCACGTTACTTACGGGGTAGCACAGAGGGATGGATGAGGCACGCTCGGAAATACTTGGAGGAGTAAGCTTCAGGTTTCGGTGGATGGGGGAGGCTTAGACTGGACCACAGCCCTCTCCAGCCTGCCTGGAACAGCCCAGCATGGCGATTCGTGACCCAGACCTGTGGAGCTCCCGACTGCCCAGGGGCCTGGGTGACGCCGCTCACAGAGAAAGCAAGGGGTTGCTTTGAAGATTTCAAGGCCAAGTGCTGCCTGCGATGGGCTCACCGGGACCCCTTCCCTGCAAGTCACCTCTTTCTAGAAGGACTGTCTGCATCCTGGAGGAGGAGGCTTCTGTGTCAGGCTTGGGCCAAAAGCACCATCAGCAGGAGAGGTGGGCTTGGCGTGGGTGAACCATGATCTTTCTTGAGGACACTCACTCACACACCTTGGTGGCAGGAAGCTGTCTGCAGCCACATTGCTACCCACCCACCTGCAGACGGTGATGGAATTTTGCTCACTGGCCTGAGAGAGGTGGTAGGTAGTCATACTTCGGGGGTCCTCCTTGGGGCCTGATGGACTCCTCTTTCTGGGGAGGCTGGGTGGGCAGACATCACGGTGCTCGGTGGGACTTCAAAGACAGTCCTAAGGCTACTCTGATGGTGGAGTGTGCGTGCACAGGTGAGTGAGTGTGTTGGGTACATCACCTAGCATTGTGTGGCCGGATGACACCTCAGGTCCCTTGGCTGTGTCTCTTCGGAGCTCCTTCCTAACCAGCTGCCTTCCCCGTCTCTTTTGCATCAGGGCACGGTGGGAAGATGGGCTCCCGGGGACAGGGACTTGTGCTGGGATGCTGCTTACTGCTGGCCTCTGCCTGGGGCCCAGCGCTGAGCCATGTGCCACGAGGACAGGAGGAATGGCAGGAGCAGGAGGGGACCCAGGAGCCACCAGCCCCGATGGACCATGCCGAGAGGTGAGGGGTTGTGACAGGTCAAGCCTGGAACTTGGGGGACCCCTTGGCACTGGCTCACTCGGACGCAAAAAGGGGTGAAAGTTGAGGTTGAGGGATGGTCCCGAGGAGGCTGGAGGACAGACAAGCCAGTCCTCCTGGTGGGCCTTGGATGCAGGAATCCAGCTCCTTCCACTGCTAGAGGAGCAGGAATCTGCAAGGGTGCTGCAGTCTCAACTTTAAATGAAGAGCAAGCCCAGCCCTGGGCCGCCCCACTGTGCCTTTGCTCTCTCGCTGAGAATGTGCACCAGAGCACTAGGCTCTTCTTGGAGGCAGGTGGCAGGGTTGAGTGGGCTCGGGAGAGATGCTGGAACAAGAGCAGGTCACATGGCCGCAGTATCAGTGAGGACCAAACAGCCAAGGGTCACCTTTCCTGAAAGGTCATGAAGCACTTCGGAGTGGTGCTTGCTTTATCAGTGTACAGACTCAGGGGTACTGGGGATACAAGAATGCTTAGGGTTGCTCATCAAACTGTGACCATCAAACCGTGAGGTCCTAGAGACCTGCAGAACAGTGCCGTGCTGACTTTTGTCTCTGGCTCACCCTGATCATTGGGCCAGTGTGATGTCCTGGGCAGGGTTTGGGGACAGGAACACCATTCCTTTCGTCTTCCTCCTTTTCCCGTTCAACAAACACTGAGTGCCTGCTGTCAGTCAGGCTGTGCCCAAGGCGCTGGAGAAGCGTGTGAGCGTCAGTCCCTGGACTCTGGAAACTCCAAGGCTGTGGGGAGGCCATGCAGCAAGGCAGGATGGGTAGGACGGGTGTTCCCACAGTGCTGGCGGTTGGAGGGGCAGAAGAGGGAGGGCATGAGCCAGAAAGAGCAAGCGGAGGAAAGAATGAGGTCGTAAAGGACACCCGGAGGCTCCCAGCTGCAGAAGAAGCCAGCCCAGCTGCCAGCATGGGGTGTGCAGAGGCCCCACTACCTGAGCAGGGCAGGAGGATCGCTTGGGGTGGTGGGAGCTGCAGCCTGAGACAGGCAGTGTAGAGATAGCCAGGGGTCGCTGAAGCTAGTGGGAGGAGTCTCCTGATTTCCTCCTAGAGGCAGCAGGGAGTCACAGGAAGGTTTGCATTTGATGTGCTCTAGCGGGAAGGGTGGAGCAAGGCCTTGGCCTTAGAAAGGATGCAAGGCTGCCGCAGAGGCGAACTCCAGGGGAGCAGCCCAGATGGCGAGGTCAGAGCCACGGGCTGGGGATGCTGCAGGGCAGGTGCTGAATGTGGCCGCGCAGCCTAGCGACGCCTGCGATGAGGCCAAGGGCTCCGCGCGGGACGGGGGCTGGAACCTCGTCTGGCGGAAGCTCTTGGGGGAAGGAGCGTGCTCAGGGTTTCAGTTTGGGGCCCGTGGTGTCCGTGGAGCCTGTTGAATCTCTGGCGAGAGGATTGACGAGGTTGGTGGCTTAGGAGACGCGGGGGCCAGAGGATGCACGTTTGAGCACTCGGCTTGTGACCGAGCTGAGGGTGTGCAGATCATTTTCCCGGATTGTCTGGGGAAGGAGAAGGGGAGCAGAGTTCGGGAGCAGATTTCGGGCCTGGCTATTTGAGAAGGGCTTTGCTGCTGCCGCCCCACCGCCACCCCCGTAGGGCAAGAGGAGCGAGATCACGGTGCAATGCTCCACGGTGCCACAAGGTGGCATCATGAAGCGGTCGCCGGAGGAAGTTGAAGCCTCCTCTCATTTACAAAGGAGCCAGTTTAGGAGATAATTTTCCAGAATTATAGATATCTGAGAGAGCAGTGTGTTACATCATCGCAAGACCCCAGTCTGCGAATGGTTTCTCCTGTGCAGGTTATGCTGCTGGGTCGTTACTGTTCCCGCTACTACTGCTGCTGTTCCCAGAGGGTCGGGTCTCTTTCTGGAGTTTGGTTCGGATCTGGAATGTATCCTGTGCCTTGAGCACGCAGGCAAGGGAGAGGGAGGCAGGCCGGGTGACCAAGACTCAGTCCTCAGAGAAGAGGTGCATTTCTGCCCTGCGAGTTCATGGCTGTACTGCGATGCGTTATTCCCTCAGGGATGAAGAAAAACACGAGAAATACAGCCCCAACCTGGGCGAGGAGCTCGCTGCTTCCAGGTGCTTTCGCTGCTGTGACCCCGCGACCCCCGTGTACCAGGCGCTCCCAGTGCCCCAGATCAACATCACCATCTTGAAAGGTCAGGCGCCTACCGCCGACTGCTGGCTGGGAGGAGGTGGCAGAGTGCTCAGGGCAGGGCTGGCTCCCTGGGGACGGGGGCGGGGCAGGGCTGTCGCCCAAGGGGAGAGGGGGAAATTCTGATCTTGTGGCTCTGCCTGGTTTCCAAGAGGAGCTCACAGTGCTGAGAGCAGCAGAGGAACCCGAGGCTGTGGCAGGGTGGACAGCAGGGCTCTGAGGTCTCTGTTTTGAGGCGCATTTTCTGATACTCACACCCCCAAGCTTGCACAGTCCTGTGGGAAGCTTGCAACCTGCCCCCATCTGAGCCCGGACACCTGAAGTCGGTTTGCTTGGGGTGAGCCTGGGCCTGGCCATGGAGCCTGTTGCTTGTGGACAAACCCCTATGTTCCTTTATCTTCACCAGGGCTTTCCAGAAGGAAAAACAAAACAAAACAAACAACAACAACAACAACAAAAACCAAACCAACAACAAAACAAAGCTACTGTGTCTGGGTGAAAGTAGATCAATCCTTGTAACTGAGTCTGCTAGCTTGACTGTTTTGGGAATCAAATTTCCCTGGTTCTGGGATGGGAGCCTCAGCAGGTTGCGGCAGAGGTGAAGCCAGCCAGGTCAGGGCTGTGGTGCCGAATCAGGATGGCGCCCGGGCCAGGGACAGGAAGCCCAGGTGCGGGCCGACCACTGCGCTGCTCTCTTGACCCCCTTGTCTTCCTGTCCCTTTTAGGTGAGAAGGGTGACCGAGGAGATCGTGGCCTTCAAGGGAAATACGGCAAGACGGGTTCTGTGGGTGCCAGGGGTCACATTGGACCCAAAGGGCAGAAGGGGTCCATGGGGGCCCCCGGGGACCGGTGCAAGAACCACTATGCAGCCTTCTCAGTGGGCCGGAAGAAGCCCCTTCACAGCAATGACTACTACCAGACAGTGGTCTTCGACACGGAGTTCGTGAACCTCTATGGTCACTTCAACATGTTCACGGGCAGGTTCTACTGCTACGTGCCTGGCATCTACTTCTTCAGCCTCAATGTGCACACGTGGAACCAGAAGGAGACCTACCTGCACATCATGAGGAACACGGAGGAGGTGGTGATCCTGTACGCCCAGGTGAGTGACCGGAGCATCATGCAGAGCCAGAGCCTGATGCTGGAGCTGCAGGAGCAGGACGAGGTGTGGGTGCGCCTGTTCAAGGGCGAGCGTGAGAACGCCGTCTTCAGCGACGAGTTCGACACCTACGTCACCTTCAGCGGCTATCTGGTCAAGCATGCCGCCGAACCCTAGTGGTGCCCCTGCTGCGTGCCACAGAGCGCCGAGCCACTCTCCTCTTGCACGCCTGTACCCTGCGGACCCTGGGGTCCAGTGCCAGGTTGACCCCATCAGCTCTTCCTCTAGTCCTGGCTTCTTTACCTGCTGCTTCCCCAGCTTTGGCATCGACGAGACACCCTCAGTGGGTCGGAAGTCAAGACGACCTATGGGCCCAGCGCTGGCCGCTGCTGTCGGCAGAGAGGAACCAGCCCATGAGCAGCAGGACAGCGGCACCTCCAGCCCGCTGTGCGCATACAGCCTCAAGTGACCTGGCGTTGCACCGTCCCACAGCGTCAGGCCCCTCTCCAGCTCCTGGAAGTAATTAAGCAAATGCTAAAGGCTCCAAAGGAGTGGGGTCAACCTTGGAGGCTGAAGAAAAGTGTTGCTGTTTTTGCTTTCCTAGCCAGCTGGCTCTATGAGGGGGAGTGTTTTCACTGCAGGGTCGCTGCCTGAGATACCATAGAACAGATTTAAAGGGGAAACACAAGTGCTGAGGGAGGAGCTCAGGGGCCCAGGAGACCATGTGTGGCTTAATCACATCAGGCCACATATGAACCTTCTTGGGGAACAGCAAACTGGTGTCCCTGTCTTGCTGATGTCACTGTGGCCTTGAGAGAGGACTCAGCAGGTCTCTTTGAGCCACAACAGTGAGGGCATTAGGCTTGGGGCAGTGAGTGTCAGCTCCCCAGAGGGACAGACATACCCACTGCCCTTGGCCTTGGGCTGGTCGAAGAGGCTGCTTGCTTCAGCTTATGGACAGTAGCTGGGGACCTCAGGTACCCCAGGCCTGCAGATGTTCTCTTGGGGAGCAGAGCTCCTGGTGCGTCCAAGCACCATTCTGCTCCCCAGGCCACCTTGGGCCCTGGGTGGGATCTTCATGTTAGCAGCTCAGGCATCAGCTTCCTGTTCTGCTTCCCAGGCAGGTCAGCCACAAAAGCGCCTGTGCCTTTGATTCTGCTTCTGTCAGTCCACCTCACGCCACCTTGGTGCTGTTTCCTCCAGGCTTAGGGTCCCTGCCTCAGCTTGTGCTGCATTGGTTGCAGCCGGGTGATGGTACCATCCGAACTCCATGGCCTTCACCCAGCCCTGCTGCCAACAGCCCGAGGCAACACTGAGGGGCTTTCTCTGGGCTAAGGGGCAGGGGACAGCAGGAAGGTGCTGGAAAGGCCCCCTCCACCTGTTTCCAGGGCTCCTATTAGGTCAGTCCTGGGGCCAGGGCAAATGAAGAAATAGAAATCCAGCCACTGGGGTTCAACGCTCTCTCTGAGGGGTAGAATGGAGCAGAGGCAGGTGCCCTGCTGGAGCCTTTTGCTGCCACACAGGTGCTCTGGCTACCACTGGCTTTGGCTCTATCTTCAGCAGCAGCAGGCAGCAGGGGCAGGTTCTCTGCTCCCTGGGAACCTGCCAGCCCTCCCCCATCTCACCCCACACTGGTGCTCAGGGGCCCAGGTTGCTCTGCCCACCAGCTCAGGCCCTCGGTCCCTAACCCAACAGCACGGTCCTTCCTTCCTGCTGCCTGAGACCCGTGGTTTTGACTTATGCTTCCTCCCTTTGGGGCCTGTCTCCTGGGCTGTGGGGTTCGCAGTGCCCGCCTTTGAAGGCCCTCTGCTGGTCAGACTGTAAAAGCCGCGTTTCTGTGAGACTCACTTGTGCCCCACATTGCTCTTTCCAGGAAGCATTAAACTTGGAATCATGATGTGAGCATCCCAGCCTCCTTTGTCTGCTTCTTGAGCTGAGACCTCCTACCTGGCCTCCCCACCCTGACACCCACCGTGGGCCTGGGACTCGTGCGCCACAGCTGGAGGCAGAGGCCGCTCTCCCGAGTTACCATGCGGTATCCTGGGAAGAGTAGAAGCCTTGGGTGCAGTGCCCTGGCTGAGCCACAACCCTCACAACTGTCTGCCCTGCAGCTGCTGTAACAGAGGAGCACAGCCTGGCTGCTGAAAAACAACAGAACTGTATCCTCTCCCAGTTCCGGAAGCCGGAAGTTCAAAATCAAGGGGCAGGCAGGGCCTTGCTTCCTCCTACGGCTCTAGGCGAGGGTTCTTCCTGCCTCTTCCAGCTTCCTGTGACCCCCAGGCATTCCCTGGCTCAGAAAGCATCAGTCCAATCTCTGCCTGCTCTTTCTTCACGTGTGTGCCTCAAATCTCCCTCCCTTTTCCTAAGAGAACACTTACCTTGGGTTTAGGACTCACCCTAAATCCAGGATGCTCTTCTCTTGAGATCTTGAACTTAATTACACCTGCAAACACTCTATTCCAAGTGAGGTCAGAACCACAGATACCTGATTATAAGACTGGTCTTTTTGGAGGTTATCACGTACCCGACTGCAACAGCCTACAGGCTTGAATACACAGACCAACAGCCCCTGTTCATCTGAGCAGTGAAGGACAGATGTTTCTCCTTCTTCTTTTTGTTGCTGGCCAACTGGGTTAGCAGCCAGGCCCTCCTCCAACTTCCAGCGTCCAGCACGGAAGCAGGAGCCAGCAGGCTGGTAAACAGCTGGCTTCCCGCCTTTGCCTGGCCCTGGGTAGGTCCACGTGGTCATGCTCAGCCTTGAGCTGTGGCCAGACACTGCAAACCTGCCATCTGTGAGAGAGAGAAGGCTCCCACCTCCATAGAACTGAGGCCACTGGGCAGAGGCACGCTTCCCCCGCAGCTGGGAGAGGGGGCAGAGAGCATTTCCCAAAGGTGCCTGGAAGGAATGAGTCGGGGCCATCCGTCGTCACTGACTGCCTCTCTCCTGACAGTCACTTGGCCCGCGTACATGGTCCCACTGCTGCTGGCCTAGCCGCCACTGGAAAGGAGGCACCATTGGCTCCAGGGCCCTTTTGATGCCCCTTTTGGTGCCCATCATTTGTGGGCCAACCCTCCCACATTCTTTCATGTTGGCGTTTACACCCCTCCCACTCTTCCTCCTCGCATTTGCCTTGGTCCTGCTTTGTGGCAGCCCATGTGCTGGGTGCTGGGGCGATAGTGACCAATAAGCAATGGCCCTCCAGAGGACCCTTCCTGGATTTTAGCGGACAGTGGGCTATGGATGCCCAGGTTCTCTGAAGCGTAGGCTTGGTACCGAGTTACTTGCTCCATCTGATGCCTTCCCCAGGAAGTTTACTTCAACAGGGTCTTGTCCCTGTTTCCTGTCTCCAGCTAGTGAGAAATTGGCTGTCTCTGGAAAAAAGTTGCAAGCTCAGTTGCAACATAAGTATTCGTGTTTTAGCAAAGTGGGGTAGAAACGGTTGATGATTGCCAAAAGGAAAAATTGATTATATTAGGAGTATCCAGAGTCTGTGTAGCCAATGTTGGGATGAGGAGGCCACAGCTGATCCTAATCCTCGGGGATAATTGTCCATAGGGTTCACTACAGAAACAGTGCATGATGGAAAACTGACTTTCCTGAGCCATCGTAAGTAGGATAAGATGAGACTTTTTTTTTTTTTTTGAGACAGGGTCTCACTGTGTAGTTGAGACTAACCTGGAACTCACTATGTAGCCCAGGCTGGTCTCGAACTCAGAGTGATCCTGCTGCCTCAGCCTCCTGAGTGCTGGAGACAAGACATTCTTGCTAAGATCATGAATAAAGCCCAGAATGTTACAGAAAACAGTAAGTAAAACAAGAAGTCTTTGAATACAAATGAATGGAGCTGGGTCCCTACCTCATACCATATATAAAATTAACTCAAGAGGCCTAAATATAAGAGCTAAAGCTATAGAACTCTTAGAAGAAAGCCTAGGCATAAGTCATCATGACCTTGGATTAGGCAAAGGCTCCCCAGGTATAACATCAAAAACAGGAAAAAAAAAAGATAAATTACATATCACCAAAATTTTAAACTTAGGTGTTTTAAAAGATGCCATTAAGATTAAAAGACACCATTAAGAAAGTGAAAAGATAACTAAGAAAATGGGAATAAATATTTGCACATTACCATCTAGAATCAATAAAGAGCTCTTGCAATTCAGTAATAAAAAGACAAACTGGGGCTGGGGATGCAGCTCAGTGGCACCGCACCTGCCTCACAAGCACAAGGTCCTGAGTTCAATCCCTGGTACCAAAAACATAAACAAAATATAAAAGAAAATGACAAATAATCCAATTAAAAGTAGGCAAAGGGTCAGAAGAAACATTTTTTCAAGGATGATATACACGTGGCCAAAACACACGAACAAATGCTTAACATTGGTAGCCATCAGGTAAATCCAAGTCAGAACCATAGCAAGCTGCAACTTCACAGCCAGTAGGATGGCTCTAACCGAGAAGACAGACGACCACACTGGGGAGGACCCGGAGACAAGTGAAGCCCTTGTCGGTGCTGTCCCGCAGGTGAGATATGCAGCCTTTCTGAAAAGCAGTGTGGAGGTTCTTCGGTGTGGCAAACGTAGAGCTCTACCTGCCCCAGCGATTCCGCGCCCAGGTGTATATCCGACAGAAGCGAGAGCGCGCAGGTCCGCGCAAACTTGTCCACGGCCGTTCGTAGCGGCACTGTGCGTACCAAAGTGGGCGCGTTCCAAATGTGCATTAGCTGACGAACGGAGAAGCAAAATGCGCTGTATCTGTGCGATGGAATGTTACTTGGCAGTAAAAAGGGCTAAACTACCGATACGTGCTACAACATGGGCGGGCCTCCGAAATGTTATTGGAAGGGAAGGAAGCCGGCCCGAAGGACCATCGATTACATAACTTCACTTACGTGAAACAGCCACCGTCGGCGAATATGCACAGACAGAAAGTAGACTGGGGGCTTCCAGGGTCTAAGGGTGGGGAGAATGGGACAAACGAGAAGTGGGTGCTAATGGATTTGCAGTTTCCTTTTTGAAAGATGAAAATATTCTAAATATGATTGAAGTAGATTTTACATTCTGGGATTATACTAAAAACCCTGAATTGCCACTTTAAATGGACGAGTTATATGGTATGTGAATTACATCTTTATAAGGTAGTCGTGAAAACAAACAAAACCTCCCCCCAAATCAGGTCCTCTCATCCCTCCCTGGAAGCTCTCGAGTTGTAGCTTTTAGGGCCAGAGGCCACTGAGGTAGGATGGGAGTGTCGGGGTTCGTTCTGCCAAGAACCTCATTCAACAAGCATCTTTGAATCAACTGATGAGTGAGATCACTCAAGCTCAAGAGGCCAACTCGGGTGCCAGGGAAGCATTCCAGAAGGGACGAGTAATTGAGGGCCATGCCTTTCCTGCTGGAATCTTTCACAGCTGTGTAAGGCCTGGAAAGGACTGGTGACCTCGAGTGCACCCCAGCTCGGCAGGCTTCAGGCTCTGGCTCCTGCAAAGGCAGGATGGGGCACAGCCTGTTGTCATGGTGCAGATGCCAGGCGAGGGCTAGGAAATTCCACAGGCCCTTGTGGTCCGGATGGTTTGAAAGCCTTTCTGCCTAGGCAGAGAAAATGCCCCTCCAACTGTTCAGTCAAGATGCCACTAAGTCAGCTGTCCGTGAGGCTTGAGATCCTACTTACTACAGATATGCGACAAGAATGCCCATGACGTGGGAAAAGCCCACAGTAGAGTCACCGCCAACTTTCAATAATAGCTCTTGCTCCATCCGGGGAGATCAAAGAAGACAAGATTGAGAGTTGTGGCAGAGGACTTTAAAAACCATCACAAAGAACCAAACGAAAAACTCCAGAACTGAAGAACTTGATGGGAGGGTACAACAGCATATCATACAGCACCGAAAAGAAAAACCAACAAATGACAAACGGGAAGACAAGCCAGAAGAACGTGAAGTGTGACTGAAAGAAGTTTAAAATTTAGAGATATGCTACAGTGAAAGCCATGCTGGCATGAATCCCTTCTCTTTGAATACGCTTGTCCCATCCTTTCCCACATTCTGAACCAGCTGTGGGAGTCCTCTTTCGTAAGAGTCTTCAGTTGAACTGTCGTGGCTGCCTTCACATCTTGAACCGATGCTAAACATTTCCCATTCATGGTCATTTTTACTTTGGGGAAGAGCCATAAATCACATGGTACCAGATCCAGTGAATAAAGTAGGTGGGGACACACTGCCATTTTTTTGTTAATTTTAATTAATTTTATTGATACAATTAAGGTATATGACAGTCATCGTTGGAAATTTGCACCTTTACATAATCCATCTTGTTTCTTATTTTTACTCCACTCCCTTGCCCTCCCTTGTATCCCTCCATCCCTCCCTTTCTACAAAGACACTGCAATGTTTTTATGAGCCTGCTTTTTTGTTGGACGGCACCCAGCAGCAGCATTCACTGTATTTTTTGATACCACTCTGTATTTCCATAGAGAAAGGTGTAAAAGACAAAAAGGTATAAAATACAAGGCAGAAGACACCATCCGCACAAAGTGACGTTTCAGGAAATCCCAGTCTTGCTGTGTAACGACTCACCACCAAATGTAGCAAGTGCTCCGAGGTCAAAGAAAGACAGGCAGATCCAAGATTGTACAAAGTACAATTGGTTGGAGGCTTTTGGACAGAAATTTGTCTTGGGTGGCGGAGAGACTGGTGAATCCTCACACCCCAAGCTGAAGGAAAGGGCTTATATGTGAAGCTAGACAGAGCTGGGCTGCCTTTCTCAAAAACTAGTAACATGTCTAACGTCAGTTGAAAAACCATCTGGGCGTTGATGGTCACACCCCACTCTTGGCTGACAGTCTTTTTTAAGGGTGTATTTTTTTTTTTTTTTTTGAGACAGGGTCTCACTATATAGTTGAGAATGATCTGGAACTCACTATATAGCCCAGGCTGGTCTCGAACTCACAGGAATCCTCCTGCCTCAGCATCTCGAGTGGTGGGATTACAGGCATGTGCCACCATGCACGGCTGGCTAACAGTCTTAATGTTGTTTGTCCTACGGGGTTTGGGATGTGTGTCAGGGCCGCCCAGCTGGCTAAAAGGTGGTCAAGACTGAGATGGCTGCAGTGGCATCAGATTGGATCCCTGTAAGTGTCAATAAGAAAGCCCATCATTTATGTGACCGAAATGCCAGAAGAAATGAGAGAGAAGAAAGCAACAGAAACCATATTTGGAGATAAAATAGCTGAGAAATCCCCCACATTGATCAAAGTCACTGAGGTACCGATTTAAGAAGACCAGCGAATACCAAGGAGAGCCCTGAGCAGGGTCCATTGTAGTATAACTGTTAAGAAATTAGAGACAAAACATTTCCCCCTCTTTCTTACAAACAGGCTGAAAGGAAAATTCTGTCTCTCAAAGGAGCTATGATAAGTATGACCAGGTGATTGCTCCACAGAAGAGCCAAAAGCCAAAAGACAGTAGAATGGTATATTCAAAGGGCTGCAAAAATAACTATCAATCTAAAGTGTGATTCCCAATAAAGACAAAGATATTTGCAAAGGAACAATAATGGTAAGATAATTCCAGAGGAAAGTAGAGATGTAGGAATAAATGAGAAACAAGAAAAGGGCTGCCTTTGGTAGTAATTCTAAATGAACATAGCCTGTAAAGAAAACAATAGTCTTGGAGAACTTCTAGGAAGATCCTCAAAATGTTAAATGTGGAGTTACCGTGTCTCAGAAATCCCACTCTTCAGCGCAAAAGGAGTTAAAATGTGCTCCCACACAAAAACTTCTACACAAATGTCCAAGGCAGCATTTTTCATGATAGCAAATGGGTGGAAATGCCACAAATGCCCATCAGTGAGTGGAGAGATAGATAAAATGTGATGTACCCATACAACGGGACACTAACTGTCAAGGAAAGGGATGTGTCAGGATGCACGCTATGGCCTCGATGAACCTCAAGAGACTATGTGGGCAAACCGAGCTGGTCACAAATGACCTCATAGTGTATGATTTTATTTATATGAAATATCCAGAATAGGTAAATCCATAGAGACAGAAAGTAGATTGGGGTACCTAGAGGTTGGTGGCGGGTGTTGGAGGGAAGAGACTCTGGAACGACTACAAAGGGGTTTCCTTTTTAGGGGTGATGAACTATGCCAAAATTAGATTGCAGTCATAGTTGTACAACTCT